GGACATGGCAGCCAGGCAGCGTAGACAAGACTTTGCCCTCACACCCCATCCTGCACAGTTGATGCTGTGGGGCGCAGGCAGAGGGCGTAGCCGCCATGGTGCTGCTGGGCTTCCTGGGTGATCTGTGGCGGGCCCTGGAGGCGGTGAGTGGCCTTGTGGGCAGGCGGGGCTGGGGGGCGAAGTGGGGGTGGGGCAGGGGGTGGAGTGGGGGCGGGGCCAGGTTTTGGGCACTCGGTCTCTAAAAGGTTTGCCATCACTGCCCTATACCATTTCAGACAAATGGCTGTCCAGTCTCTTCTTGAAAACTTCCAGTGTTGGAGCATTCACAACTTCTAGAGGCAGGTTGTTCCACTGATTAATTGTCCTAACTGTCAGAAAATTTCTCCTTAATTCTAAGTTGCTTCTCTCTTTGGTTAGTTTCCATCTGTTGCTTTTTGTCCTGCCTTCAGGCGCCTTGGAGAATAGCTTGACTCCCTCTTCTTTGGGGCAGCCCCTGAGATATTGAAACACTGCTATCATGTCACCCCTCGTCCTTCTCTTCATTAAACCAGACATACCCAATTCCAGCAACCGTTCCTTATATGTTTTAGCCTCCAGTCCCCTAATCATGTTTGTTGCTCTTCTCTGTACTCTTTCTAGAGTCTCAACATCTTTTTTACATCATGGTGACCAAAACTGGATGCAGTATTCCAACTGTGGCATTACCAAGGCCTTGTAAAGTGGTATTCATACTTCACGTGATCTTGATTCTATCCCTCTGTTAATGCAGCCCAGCATTGTGTTGGCCTTTTTGGCAGCTGCAACACACTGCTGGCTCCTATTTAAATGATTGTCCACTTCAACATACAATCATAACTGGGACCAGAATTTCCATTGCTAAGCAAGATGGTTGTTAAATGAGTCACGGTGACTCTACAACTTCTTTTTCCATGGTTGTTAAGCAAATTACTGCAGTTAAGTGAATCATGGGGCCATTAAGAAGATTTGGCTCCCCCAGAATGACTTTGCTTGTCAGAAACTGGCGGGAAAGATCACAGATGGTGATCAGATGACCCTGGGATAGTGCAACCATCGTAAATTCATGCCACTTACCAAGTGCCTGAATTTGAACATGCGACTATGGAGATACATAAATGGTCATAAATGTGAGGACCTGTCAAGGATGAAACTTTGGCAGCTAGGTGCCTCTGTGCTTCAACTTGCCTTTAAATTAAGGGGGGGAGGCATTACTTTCAAGTGGGTTAGATGGAGAAATGAAACTTCTTCAGTTCCGCTGAAGACAGTGAGAGCCTGAAGCCTTGTCAAGGACACCAGAACAGGTGTGTATTTGAAGCAGACAGTTCCCATAACAAAGTGAACTTGTTCATATGGATTATGTAAGGCATTAGGGGTTTGGCTGGGAAAATTATTGTTTAAGTCTATGAATTGGTGTTGAAACCTCAGAGTTAGTTTTGCTCCGACATAACCATGCTGTGTATTCAATAAAGAGTAAGAGTTTCAGAAACGGAATGAACCTGGAGTTTTATTTGGATTCTCAAGCTGGATGTTGATAGGACCAGTTCTAAGTCACCTTTTTTTGGTGCCACTGTAATTTTGAACAGTCACTAAACCAGTGGTTCTCAACCTGTGGGTCGGGACCCCATTTGGGGTCGAACGACCATTTCACGGGGGTCGCCAAACAACGCAGTCCGCCATTTTTTTCCCCTTTTCCTTAGCTGTGCTACTCCCTTTTATTCTATTGGCTTTTGAAAGCCAATAGAATAGACTCTCTTGAATAGAGTCTAATTCTATTGGCTTTCAAAAGCCAATAGGAATTGTCCAGCTGTCTCTGCCCTGCTGAGCCCGCCAAAAGTCCCATTCTACAAACGGTGCTGCACCCGTTGAGTAGTCCTCGACTTACGACCGGTTGAGTAGTCCTCGACTTACGACCGGTTGGGGGTCGCGGCATTAAAAAGGTTGAGAACCACTGCACTAAACAAATGGTTGTAAGTTGAGGGCTACCTGCAGTGAGACATTTCTAGGCCTCAGTCAATCTAGTTTAGATTGATCTTTGGCTCTAATTTATACCACTTGTAGTAGAACCTTAGTAAAGGAAGAGAACATTTTTGATAATCTCAGACATCCAAATTTAAGTATCCCACACAGATGCGTCTCCAGCTTTTGCCTGAATGTATCCAAAAAAAGGAAACTTACCTCTGGTCTGGATAGATCATCCCATGTCATAGAACACAGAATAAAAGAGTTGGAAGGAACCCTGGAGGTCTTCCAGTCCAACCCCCTGCTCAAACAGGGGACCTTAAACCATTTCAGATAAATGGTTGTCAAATGCTTGTATTGTTAAACAGTTACTAGGGATCTGCTTTTCTACACTTAAAACCATTTTTTCCTGGAGGCTTTCAAGAAAGGATTGGACAGCCACTTGTCAGAAATGGTATAGGGTCTCCTACTTGAGCGGGGGGGGGGGTTGGACTAGATGACCTACAAGGTCCCAGCCAACTCTGTTATTCCATTATTCTGTTAAGTATGCCTTTCCTACTAACTCTGTGTTGTCCTGCAGCAACATCTTTAAGTAGAATTATTATAATTATTATTATCAGTAGCCCTGGTGGTGCAGTGGTTAGAATGCAGTATTGCAGGATAACTCTGCCCAAAGCCTAGAGTTTGATCCTGACCGGCTCAAGGTTGACTCAGCCTTCCATCCTTCCAAGATTGGTTAAACGAGGACCCAGATTGTTGGGGGCAATATGTGATATTATACACTGCCCAGAGAGTGCTATAAAGTGCTAAGGAGCTGTATATAAGTCTAGGTCAGTGGTAGCGAACCTATGGCACACATGCCAGAGGCGGCACTCAGAGCCCTCTCTGTGGGCACACACGCCGTTGCCCCACCGTTGCCCCAGCAGAGTTTGCCAGAGTAGCGAGCATGTGGCGTTTGGAAGCGACAGGGCAGGAACTGAGCGAGCAAGTGGCATTCACCACCCCCACCCCCACCCCGGGGATGACCCAAGATAGCGAGGGACTGGCCCCCACTGACGTGGCCCCGGTCATGCTCACCCAGTTTGCCGTGATCACTGCAACCATACCCACCCAGTGGGCCACGCCCCCCACCCCCCTGAGGGCACCACAATACTGATGCAGCCCTGGCACTTTGCGATAAACAATTGGGTTTTGGATTGCAGTTTGGACACTCGGTCTCTAAAAGTTTCGCCATCACTGGTCCAGATCTATTGATAGTGTTATTTGACTGGTTTGTATCACAAATCTGTATCCAAACTTTCTCTCTCTCTAGTATTTGAGTATTAGACACACACCTGCCTTTGTACATTTTATGAAAACACGGCACAAAAAGAAGGATACAAATGCACAGGATCAACCCCATCCAGTTTGCTGTTTGGGGGGAGGGGGGGCTCTATCGAAAGCCACCAGTAAAATACTGTGGAATGGGGAATTTCTCCCGAGCATTGCTAATTGACGATGGTTTGCTGAAGGACATTAGCAGCTGCCTCACTGCTTCATTACACATTAAGGAAAAGTTATAATTTAGCTGATCTTAATAGTTTTTCTCCCTCACAGCTCTAGCCAACCTTTTAGACATGAGCTCATCTGCTTCTTGAACCGTAAATTAAATGAACAGTGATAAATCAGTGGGTGCACTGAATTTGAAGATCGAGAGAAAGGGGAAACCAATGTCTACTCTTAAAAAAAAAACACAATCTCAGTTATTGGTAGATTTTTGATTGAACCTAGATATAGGAAGAAGGAAAGGATCAAGTCTTTCTCCAGTGTGTTGTTGTTAGTTGCGAAGTCGTGTCTGACCCATCGCGGCCCCATGGACAACGTTGCTCCAGGCCTTCCTGTCCTCTACCATCTTCTGGAGTCTCTTTAAGCTCACACCTACTGCTTCAGTGACTCCATCCAGCCACCTCATTCTCTGTCGTCCCTTTCTTCTATTGCCCTCCATCTTTCCCAGCATTAGGCTCTTCTCCAGTGAGTCCTTCCTTCTCATTAGGTGGCCAAAGTACTTGAGTTTCAACTTCAGGATCTGGCCTTCTAAACAGCAGTCAGGGTTGATCTCCTCTAGGAGGGACCGGTTTGATCGCCTTGCAGTCCAAGGGACTCGCAGGAGTCTTCTCCACCACCATAGTTCAAAGGCCTCAATTCTTTGGCGCTCAGCCTTTCTTATGGTCCAGCTTTCACAGCCATACATTGCAGCTGGGAAAACCATGGCCTGGACTATATGCACTTTTGTTGGCAGGGTGATGTCTCTGTTTTTTAGTATGCTGTCCAGATTTGCCATAGCTTTCTTCCCCAGGAGCAAGCGTCTTTTGATTTCTTGGCGGCAGTCCCCATCTGTGGTGATCTTGGAGCCCAAGAAGATAAAATCTGTCACTACCTCCATTTCTTCCCCATCTATTTGCCAGAAATTGAGAGCCCCAGATGCCATGGTTTCTCCAGTGTAGACAACCAATACTCAGTCTCCTCCTAGGTTTCTTATTTCATTTTCTAAATCCTTTCTATGCTATCTCATCATGGATTGTGGTGGTTTACCTTCCCTAAAATCATGGCAACGATGCATCAACCAAAACCTTGAAAAGTTCAGTGGAAGAGCACTGTCTTGCTGGCTTTCTTGAAATTTTATTTCTGGTTCATACTTATAGTCTGCCTGTCTTGCAATTAAGGGACTCTAGGCCACTTACCAGATAAAAATGACAATAGAAAACATCCAAATATTTTTTATCTCATATTTATTTTCTGCCTGTCTTGCCATCAAATGACCCTAGGCCACTTTACAACAAGATGAAAATGTTAAGAACTGTGGGAAGGGCCAAGAAGATGTAGGAGAAGGACAGGCAGACCCTGAGGGTAGAGTCAAGAGAGGAATCAGCTTGGAGTCATTACATTCCCACAAATGGTCTAAGTCTATTTCCTGTTGAATTCCATTAATTTAACCCCAAAGAAAAACACATCGAGAAAACATAAGAAATGTTTTTTTGACTTACATAAGGGATAGTGTCCAACGTATCTGTATTGACAATAATAGGAGCAGGGCTGGCCTGGGAAAGAGAGAGAGAATAACAAGTTTACAGAACTGATAAACTATTTACATCAAAAGCTATTAGTGCCTCAATTACAAAAAGGTTGATACCCTGGTTTGAATGTCACCGAGGAGAAAAAAACATCCCATAGCAAATCAATAATGCACACTCATTATACAGAGGAACAGAAAATAAAAAATTGCATTTTGGCGGTAGGATATACAACTTACATGCTCTAAAATCCTGAGTGTAATGCACAGCAGGCTTATATCTGGACATTTTGCTTTTTTTCTTCTTCTTTTGACCTTTTCTTTTAGTTCTGGGGGGGGGAGGGATAATTTTGGGGTTGATTGGCTCACGGCGTAAGAAGTTGAAATCAAATTCCATAATTGGCCGAGGGCCAAAATCTGAGTTCTGCTATGGCACAAGAGTTTATTTTTGGGAGAAGATTTATATTTTATTACAGTCTAAGTAGTGGGCACCAGAGCAACAGTACAATATATCATGCAAAATATTAATGAATAGAGTACATTAGACACAACCATTTTATATGTTCAACATCAACCTCTGGCGACATCAGTCTCTGAAGACATTCTGAAATAGACAAGTCTTTATGAGTCCACCTTAGGCATGAAAGCCAGCTGGGTGACTTTGGGTAAATAGTAATAGTAGTAAAGTTGGAAGGGACCTTGGAGGTCATCTAGTCCAACCCCCTGCTCAGGCAGGAAACCCTACACCATTTCGGACAAATGGCTGTCCAGTCTCTTCTTAAAAACTTCCAGTGTTGGAGCATTTACTGCTTCTGGAGGCAGGCTGTTCCACTGATTAACTGTTCTCACTGTCAGGAAGTTTCTCCGTAGTTCTAGGTTGCTTCTCTCCTTGATTAGTTTCCACCCGTTGCTTCTTGTCCTGCCTTCAGGCGCTTTGGAGAACAGCTTGACTCCCTCTTCTTTGTGGCAGCCCCTGAGATATTGGAACACTGCTATCACGTTCCCCCCTCGTCCTTCTCTTCATTAAACTAGACATACCCAATTCTAGCAACCGTTCCTTATATGTTTTAGCCTCCTGTCCCCTAATCATCTTTGTTGCTCTTCTGTGTACTCTTTCTAGAGTCTCAACATCTTTTTTACATTGTGGTGACCACAACTGGACCGCAAATCTCCAGGAGACGGTGAGTTCTAGTCCCGCCTTAGGCATGAAAGCCAGTTGGGTGACTTTGGACCAATCACCAGGAGACGGTGAGTTCTAGTCCTGCTTTAGATAGAAAAGCCACCTGGGTGAGCTTGGGCCAGTCACTCTCTTAGCCCAATGCACCTCCCAGGGTTGTTGCTGTGAGGAAAATAGGAGAAGGAAGGAGTATTATGTGTCTCCTCCATCTTGAGTCATTGATAAAAATAATAGAGTGGGAATATAAATAAATAAATATACTTCTCAAGCGGGCTGCCTAAATCTTGACTTGGAAAGTTCCCAAATCATTGCAGAATTCTTCCAGGTCCATCCCCGATATGCTTTTCATTCTGCTTTTTAAAAGCATTTTTATTCCCTGATCTCTTTTCTCTGTATTTTAAGTTCATTCACCCCTCCCCCCTTATATTTCTCCAAACATCCTATACACCACCTGATAAAAAAATTAGTTTCCTTCTGGCGAATCTTGTTCTCCCTTGGGTTTAATCAGGCTGCTTAGTATCCTGCAGCTAAGACAAATGACAGCTGCAATGACAGATTGGAACAGATCATTGGGACAAGGAAGAGCAGTAGCCTTAGACTTATATACCGCTTCACAGTGTTTTACAGACTTCTCTAAGCGGTTTACAGAATCTGCATATTGTCCCCAACAATCTGGGTCCTCATTTTACCGACTTCGAAAGGATGGAAGGCTGAGTCAATCTTGAGCTGGTCAGGATCGAACTCCTGGCAGTCGGCAGAATTAGCCTGCATACTAACCACTGCACCACCACCTTCCTTCCTTCCTTCCTTCCTTCCTTCCTTCCTTCCTTCCTTCCTTCCTTCCTTCCTTCCTTCCTTCCTTCGCAATAGCACTTAGACTTATATACCACTTCACAGTGCTTTACAGCACCCTCTAAGGCTAAGCGGTTTGCAAATTCAGCATATTGTCCCCAACAATCTGGGTCCTCATTTACTGAGTTCAGAAGGATGGAAGGCTGAGTCAACCTTGATTAGGTCAGGATTGAACTCCAGACTGCAGGCAGAATTAGTCTGTAATACTGCATTCTAACCCCTGTGCCTTCCTTCCTTCCTTCCTTCCTTCCTTCCTTCCTTCCTTCCTTCCTTCCTTCCTTCCTTCCTTCCTTCCTTCCTTCCTTCCTTTTATTCGCAATAGCACTTAAAAAGAGAGAGAGAATTATGTTTCATCTGCGTTGTTAAACAAATTAATTAAATTCACTTTCTGCACCAATAGATAGAGCTCTATGTAGTCATCCTTTGGACTCATCCCTCGCAGCCATTCTCAGCTTTTCAATGCTATTATATACGAACAATATACGCATGCCCTATTACAATAGGCACGCACAAAACGAAATGTTTCTTATTGCTGTATTATTCTCTAAACATTATTCTGAAATGAGGGGGGGGGAAATGGAGGCAGAGTGGGCAAGACATAGAAAATGAGCAAAAATGGGACAAGTCCTCTTTTCCTCATGTGTTGTTTTAGTGTCCATGCGAGTGCAAACAGAAACAATAAGGGAACAACAATGTGAATCTGCCTTACATCAACTGTACAGCATGGACTCTATGCGATGTTTTTTTTTTTTAACCTTTGGAAATATAACTAATAATTGATGCAATGTTAAAAAGAAATAAATCTCAAGAGTAGAACTTTAAGTGTATCTGCCTGGGTACTCAAGGTGGCGTTTTCCCTGCAGAGAGAAACATGCCAGCAATCAGATTTAACTTTTTCTGAACAGTTCCTGAGAACAGCCTGAAATAGGCAAGGACTTATGTATATTCCTACCTAACATAAGAAGCTTCAGTGTGTTACAGAAAAAGACAATATAAATGCCAAAAAGGAGCAAGGCTACAACAGCACTGAAAAAAAAGTGAAATACCATTTTTTTTTTCTTTCTGTGTCAGGGGTCTTCATATTTGGCCCTTTTATGACTTGTGGACTTCAACTCCCAGAATTCCTCAGCCAGGCACGCTGGCTGAAGAATTCTGGGAGTTGACGTCCACAAGTCATAAAAGGGCCAAGTTTGAAAACCCCTGTTCTATGTCAATCCTTTTTATTAGTTTATAATATAAAATACAAAAATGCAAAAGCAAATAATAGGAAAAAATAGGGGAGGGAAAAAGGAAGAGATAGGTGCCGAGAGGAAGGGAAAAAGAAAGAAAGAGTATTGACTTCCAGCTCCCTTTGGTGCAATGGAATAAGAAATAACCATGGTTTTCCCAGTTGCAATGTATGGCTATGAAAGCTGGACCATAAGAAAAGCTGAGTGCAAAAGAATTGAGGCCTTTGAACTCTGGTGCTGGAGAAGACTCCTGCGAGTCCCCTGGACTGCAAGGCGATCAAACCGGTCAGTCCTAGAGGAGATCAACCCCGACTGCTCTTTAGAAGGCCAGATCCTGAAGTTGAAACTCAAGTCCTTTGGCCACCTAATGAGAAGGAAGGGCTCACTGGAGAAGAACCTAATGCTGGGAAAGATGGAGGGCAAGAGAAGAAGGGGACGACAGAGAATGAGGTGGCTGGATGGAGTCACTGAAGCAGTAGGTGTGAACTTAAATGGATTCCAGAAGATGGTAGAAGACAGGAAGGCCTGGAGGAACCTTGTCCATGGGGTCGCGATGAGTCGGACACGACTTTGCAACTAACAACAACAACAACATAAATTAGCCATTTCTATAACAAAAGATGTATCTAATCAGTAAAGCCCCAAAATCAAAGTTTCATTTATTTCCATCTCAAGTACAAAATCCAGAAGCGGTTTCCAAGGGGAAACAAAAGTACTTTTGTTTTTTCTTTTCTTTTATCAAAGCAGTCAATTTAGCCATCTCTGCTAACTCCATCAGCTCATGCAACCGTTCATCCATTGAGGGGACTGAAGCATCCTTCACATTTTTGTGCATAAAGTAATCTTGCTGCCGTCAACATGTATAACATCGAAGTTCCCAAAAAAATTTCCCCCGAGTCTTTTTCCATTAAACCCAAAAGAAAAGTTTCTGGTTTTATCTTTACATTTGCTTTAAGACATATACCATTTTTTTCACACTTAACAATTACTGCAGCATCCCCCTGGTCATGTGATCAAAATTCGGATGTTTGCTAATTCACTTAAAAACTATGGCAAGAAAAGTCGTAAAAAGGGGGCAAAATTCACTTAACAGCTATCTTGTTGAGCATCGGAAGTTTAAGTCAAGGGCTACCTGTAGGCAGATCATAATAGAGGAGTTAGCTTGAACTCTGCACGGGTGACTTTGGTTGTTCACAGCTGCAACTTGCTTGTTTCAATCTCTGGAGTGTACAAGGTCTTCTTCAAGTCCTTCGTTAATGGCTTATTCATCCCTTCCCCAGTTAAGTTCTCTCTTAAATTTCCCCAAAGTCTACTTTCCTTTCCACAATCGAGGAAAAGCAAGCAAAGTTGTGGCACTAATGCAAGCCTCAAGTCTTTTTCTACATGTATCACAATGTTGCACACCTAACCAAAGGAATGGAGTTTCTGGCTTGCTAGTGCAACATCTGATGAACTTATTATGGATGCAAAAGCAATAGCACTTAGAGTTATATACTGCTTCATGGTGCTTTACAACACTCTCTGTATAGTTTACAAGGTCAGCTATTTGCCCCCAACAATCTGGGTCCTCATTTAACCAACCTCGGACGGATGGAAGGCTGAGTCAACCTTGAGCCCATCAGAATCAAACTTCTGGCAGTGAGCAGAATCAGTCTGCAGTGTTAACCACTGTGCCACCATGGCTCCTATTTATAGCTATAGCAATAGCACTTATTGCCCCTAACAATCTGGGTCCTCATTTAACCAACCTCGAAAGGATGGAAGGCTGAG